TATGTTTAAAAAAAAAAATTCAGTAGGAAGACAAACAACAGATATAGGCAAAACATCAGATTAGACATTTAACCAAAGAAATTATACCAATGGCTAATAAGCACAAGAGAAGATGCTTAACATCATCAGTCATCGGGGAAATGTGAACTAAAACCCAAGATACTACTTTACATCCATCAGGATGGTCATGATCAAAAAGAATGCCAATACCTAGTGTTGGTGAGAACGTGAAGAAGCGTGAAGCCTCATATGTTGCTCAAATGTGAAACAGCATAGCCTCTTTGTTCAACAGCATGGCAATTCTCTAAAAAGTTAAATGTATACTTAGTATATGACACAGTAATTCCTCTGCTAGAAATCTATCAAGGACAACTGGAAATATATCGAACACAATCACTTATACACAGATGTTCATTGCAACATTATTCACAACAGCCAAAATCTGAAAACAATCCAGTGTCTATCAGCTGGTAAGTGTGTAAAAACAAAACAAAACAAAACAAAACAAAACAAAACAGAAAAACCACAGTATATATATATGCAATGGAACATTGTACTAAAAGTGAACAAATTACTCATACACACAAGAACCTCAAAAACACTATGCTAGACCAAAAAAGACTACATATTTGTATGATTACATTTTTCAGAAAGATCTAGAAAAGACAAATCTATACAGATGTAAGTAGGCCAGTGGTTGCCTGGGGTCAGGAGTAGGAGCAAGGATTGACCACAAATGGGCACAGGAAACTTTGGTTGGGGGGTGGGCAGTAAAGTATTCTAAAACTACTGCTGTGATAGTTTCACACTGAATACTTGTGAAAAATGTTAATATGAATTAAATGCATCATTAAAACTGAGGAGGTACACAATGAATTCCAAACATCTCTTCAGCTTTTAATTTAACTGAGACTGAAAGCTACCAGCTAAAACAAAAGGACCAATTCAAGAAAGATTCTGAACAATTTGTAACTCAAAGAGCCAATCCCGCCTCCCCTCCAAGAATGTGTCACTCTACCAGTCAATGGTATCTGATCTATGGTAGGAGACACCTCCTTTGTTAATTCAGGTGCACTCTTTCCTGCTAACAAAAATAAAAATGTGGTAATGTTACAGAACCAGACTGGAACACTGGTGGAAAAACCAAGCGGCACTCAGAGATCTTCGTGGATTGGAAATTTATTTAACACCGGTGGGCTCAGAGGAGACTGTTTTCCCAAAGATATGAGCCCTGAATGCAAGGGGGGGAGGGTAATTTATATTTGTCAGCTTCCATATCTGTGGGGGTTTTCGTGCACGCAGCAAACACAGGAAGAACGCGGAGGAGGGGTCTCTAAGCTAGAGACCAGAGTTTGTTTCATGCCCATTGGCCATCTTTGGCGTACTCTAGTCACTTCTCCAACATTCCCCCCTTTGATGCCTTAAAAAAACTTTTAGTAGGCACCACCTTTCAGTTTTACAGGTTGGTACTCTCAGAAGGTTAAGATATGTGCTGTAGTTTGGCGAGCAACAGTGTTTTCAATAAAATGTACCACGGCATTCAGTATACAGGGGCTGATGGATACAAGTAAAATTATGGAGAAGAGGGACCCCTCTAGGGAAGGAAGCCAGGATGTCAAATCTGTGAGATCCCATCCTTTCCATTGATTGATATTTTCCTGTTGTTTATGTTGAATTCTTTCTTTGAGTTCCTTAACCTTAGTTGTAACTATTCCTGATTGGTTTATTAAATAGACCTCTCCCAGAAAGATGAAAGTTCCTCCTTCTTCTGAAGTGAGGAGATTGAGGGATCCCCTGTTTTGGAGGGTCACTGCCACCAGAGAGTTTATTTGGCTTCGTAAGGTTACCAGAGAATCTTCTACCTGTTCCATGTCTTCATTTATCTCTCTCTTTTTTAACATTTATTTATTATTGAGAGACAGAGAGACAAAGAGCATGAGCAGGGGAGGGGTAGAGAGAGGGGAAGACACAGAATCCGAAGTAGGCTCCAGGCTCTGAGCTGTCAGCACAGAGCCCGATGCGGGGCTCGAACTCACAAACTGCGAGATCATGACCTGAGCTGAAGTCGGTCACTTAACCAACTGAGCCACCCAGGCGCCCCTCAGAATAATATATCTGAGTCCAGTTGGCCTGTAAGGATTGGTAGGCCAAATTAGAACAAAGATAGAACATCCCAGGGGTTGAGCATAGGGTTGTATTCCTCTTTAAGGTTATATTTCTTCCACATAGAGAGGTACCATTCATACCTTCAGGGATTGTACCAATTAGATTGTCGGCATTTGTGTGATGGACCCCAGTGGCCAGGGGTCCGATTAAGACAGAGGTGTTGGTTTTGAGATTTTCAGGAACTTCTCAGGTCAAAGGGATAGGAGTGGCTAAGTAAGCCCTCCAGCTGTGGGGTGAGCACATCCAGCAGGTTTGGGTGTGATTATTTATTTTATGGAAGACTTTTAGAGTAGTGTTGGCCCACTGTAGTAGTGTTGGTAAGCATATCTGATTGAGGGCTGAAAGGTTCAAACCCTGGTAGGCTGCCGGGGAAGTGGTCACCTTTATGGCTTGTATTACCCTATGTTGGGTATCCTTTATAGCCTTCTGAAGGGCCCTGTCTTGTACCCCTTCTCCGTCTGAGATCCCCCATTGAGGAAGGTAAGTGTAGCAAGCTCACTTCCCTCTCTGGAGACCCTTGTTGTGACATGGGTTCCTGACATTTTGGGTTATTTCTATGGTCCAATACTTAGTCCTTGGGGCACCAGATGACTGACAGAGAGTATGTGTTTTTCCCTTGTAGCAATCTTTGTGGAGGGAGGTGAAGGGGCTGAACAACCTTGACTCCCTAATTGTCATATAACAATCCTGGGGGCAAAGTGGATAAGTGGCAATTGTGAGGGTGAGAGAGGTTATCATAATATGCAAGCAATACTTAATAATCCTCCCATCCAGAGGAGGTATGTGAGACCCAGAATGCATCTTTTGTCCCATGTCCAGCTTGTTGGTGCAGTCTCTATCAGCCCAACAGTAAGAAGTAAGATCAGGGCTATGACACCAGTAAGGGGCAAGGGCTGGCAGAGCTGCATCCAAACCTCTGGGCTAGGTTCGCGTGTTGATTCCTCAGGCTTCTGCTGTGTGCAGGCCAGATAGCTTCCAGGGTGTGATTAGAGCAGGGGTGTAGGTCTCAGGGGCCCATTTCCCTTTTGAGGGTCAGTTTAAGTGGGTTGATTGGAGCTGGATCACTTTGCCAAGTTGTGGGTTCTTCTGAGCTGACCTTCTTAACTCTGGAGTGATGGACCCATGGGTTGATACCTGAAACTTTAAGGGCTGTAGGAGTTGTTAGAATAACAGTATGAGGCTCAGTCCACTGTGGTTTAAGAGGTTCCCTCTTCCAATCTTTGACTGACACAGAGTCTCCTGGCTGAAAGGGGTGAAAGGGAGTCCCTAAGGAAATTGGGCCCTCTCTATGGTGTATCTCTGTAACTTGTTTAGGACTGCCCCCAAAGTCTGGAACTGTTCTCTTATTCCCTTGTCTCCAATCTGGTGTAGGTCTCCTGGGAGTTTTCCTAAAAATGAGGGGAGGGGTCACCCATATAATAACTCAAAAGGGGAGAATCCTAGTGCCCAGGCATGCATCGGGCATGCAGGAGAGCCAGTGGTAGTAAATCTGGCCATGGGAAATTAGTCTCTTGGTGGTGGAACTTAGTCAGGGTTTCCTTGAGGGTGCGATTCATCCACTGTATTTTCCCTGAGCTCTGGGGTCGGTAAGCAGTGTGTAGTTTTCAGGTAATGTTGAAGGACTTTGTCAGGGTTTGTATGTCTGCCACAAATGCAGGTCAATTATCATTGTGTATGGTTAAGGGTAGACCAAACTGAGGCACAATCTCCCATAGAAGAGATTTGGCCACCTTGCAACTTTGTTCCACTCTGCTACAGAATGCTTTGACCCATCCTAAATATGTCCAGATTATTACAAAAAAGTACCTAAACCCTTTATTTGGTTGTAGGTTGGCAAAGTCCACCTCTAAGTCTTCAAAAGGGGTGGCTCCCACCATTTGTGTGCGAGGGAGGGGCTGTAGGGCAAACTAAGCATTGTTTTTGGCACAGGTTACACATTGTTCACTGACAGGTCGCCATAATGCCGGCAGCTGGCTGATATAGTAGTACTTTTTGAGGAGGGCCTCTAGCGCAGTTTTCCCTAGGTGTGTGAGTTGGTGATATTCCTTCACTAGGTGTTTTCCCATAGATGACAGGACAAAGATGTGTCCATTTGGCATGACCCCAGAATTTGGCTGAGGAGAGTATATGGGTTTGGAAACACTGAGTGTAAGGAAACAGTCAGTTTGTTAATGGCCCTCAAATCCTGTACTGGTCAGTATCCTCCTCCTCACTTGTTCACTGGCAAGAGTGGGGTATTCCAAGCCGACTGGCACTCAACTAGAATACCTGCTTCTCTGAGCTTGGTCAGGTGCTCTTATATACTCATTCTAGCCTCGAGTGGAAGGGGGTACTGCCTTTGTCTCTGAGGTTGGGCTCCAGGGATCAGGTCAACAATGATGGGGGCCCAACTCCAAGCTAGTCCAGGTGGGTTATCTTCAGCCCATACAGAGGGGAATGTAAGCCTGAATTCTGAGGGGCCACAGGGTAGGGCCTCGGCACAGAATAGTCTCTATTCTTCTTCCCTTGGCAGGGTAATCACCAAGACCAGGGTTTCCTTCTGCCTTGGGTTTAATTGGAGGCTAGTGTGCTCAGTGGGTTCAAAGGTTATCTGGGCCCCAAGTTTGAAGAGCAGATCCTGGCCCAGGAGAGGAATCGGACAGTCAGATAAGTAGAGGAAATCATGCCGGACCTTGGGACCCCCAAGTTCACATTGACAAGCTTGACAGAAGGGCTGTTGCATTGCCCATGTCCAAGTAGCCCCAAGTATGGTTGCCATCTTTTGGCTGTAGGGCACTACTGGGGAACTAACAATGGAGTATTCAGCCCCAGTGTCAACCATGAAAATTATTGTTTGGCCCCCTACCTTCATTTTGTCTGTGGGCTCATGCGGGCCAAGAGAGAAAGAGCCCGGTCGCCCTCAGTCCGATTCTATCCTGGCCAGACCAACAAAGTTCTCGCCTTGAGGATCCTCCCGATATTGGCTGGGTTTTGAGGTCCCTTCCAATTCAGACATTCATTCTTCCAATGTCCTTTCTCTTTGCAGTATGCACATTGGTCCTTTGCTAAGGGGGCTCTGGGCTTCCCCCATTTTAGTGGTTGGGGTCTTCCCATCTTTGCACCATCTGTTTCTTTTAGTGCTGCTGTGAGAAGGGTGGCCTTATTTTTTTTTTTTAATTTTTTTTT